TGAGTTCGAGGCTAGCCTGGTCGACAGAACGGGCTTCGCAGAGAAAAATCTGCCTGTCTTAGGGAAAAACAACAAAGACAACAACAAGACAGGCTAGAGTCATCTGGGGAGAGAGAACCTCAGATGAGAAAGCACTCCCACCAGACTGGCCTCTGAGCAAGCCGGTGCATTTTCTTGACTGATGTGGGAGGGCCTGGCCCACTATGAGTGGCATCACCCTTGGTCCTGGGTGCTATAGGAAAGCAGGCTGAGTAAGGGACAGAGAGCAAGCCAGTCAGCATTGTTCTTCTGTGGTTTCTGCTCCAGCCCTGATTTCTCTATGACAGACTTATAACTCTTTTCTCCCTAAGTTGCTTTTGGACAGTCTTTATCACTCCAATAGAAACCCTAACTAAGACAATAGGAAAACATCTTATTGACCATGCTAAATAACAAAAAAAAAAAAAAGTACCATTGACAATAACCAGACACCTAGACACCTTAGGAAGAGCCCACCATCCCCGTGTAGCTGTTCTTACCAACGCTGAAAGAGTTCAACTTACTCTGGAGTAAGCATCACACAAACTGAACTAACTGAGAGATCCTGTAAGATCATTGTCAGGCACTGCCAAGGTCACCAGGACACACAGGAAAGGACCGGCAAACCCGTTTTTGCAAATATGTAATACACTGGAGAATTTCGTTATCTGGTCTGCATCCTGGACCAGAAAGGGCTTTTGTGAGGATGCTGGCAACACAAGAATAAACCCGCAGCCCAGCAGGTGACAGTGCACCAGCATGGGTGATCATCAAGGCTTGCCTACAGCATGGACGGCACTTCCAGATGTTCTCTGAAAGGCTGGATAGAGGAAGAGAGAGTCAAATGTTCAGAGGGGACAGAGATGAGGAGCTCACCACCTTTCTAACTTCCTGGACTAGCGTGGGTACCTGACAGTGTATTCTATCTCTGGAATGCATCTGACCCAACAAGACTACAGGGGTCAACTTACTCTAGCATGCATTCACATTCCTTTCACCTTCCATTAAATTATATACTTACAACAGTAATATAACATCAAACAATAATCACAATAAAAACTACGCTCAAGAATTCTAATCTAAATTACATGATAGGAGTGGTTCATTAGGAATATCATGGTCTCTCAGGAACAATCATTTTATGGTTGAACCTTTTATTTATAAAATGTTAGAAAGGATCATACTGCTTTTTAGGCTGAAGCTCAACCAAATGCTAGTGTGATCAGCCACGTATGCTAGCGAGTGAGTGAGCGTTCACTGAAAAGTCAGGCGGGATCAAATGGCAGCAAGAGCAGAAGCTAATTCTCCCGACTCCACCCAATATACAAATATCCAAACGGGAAGCACAGTTTCACTTGGACAAACTTCCAAGTGCTGGTCTACACAGAATTGTGGGCCTACAGGAACTGAGAGAAGCGTATCTCACCACCTATCAGACACACTTCTACACCAGATGCACCTCACATATTTGCTCAAAGACATTCACTTCCTGCAAAGCATTAAAAAGGAAAGTGATGAGACATTTACTTTTCCCATAGTGATGTCCCCAGACTCCCACACAGATGGACTGTCCCTTTGGTCTCTGGTAGCGCTTGTCTGGAAAAGACACTGAAGCCAGGTCTTTCCGGGAGACCCACGCACTGGACACACTTTTTGTGGAGGCCAGGGAAACCTTTTAGCCACTAAGTAAGAGAAAAAAAAAATGTACACAGTTTTAACAGCTAACAGAATAATCATAAAAGCAGGTATCTCAGAACCTCTCAAATGCAGCAAAATTCACCAATTTAGAACCAGAAAATGTATTTTATCTACCAGTGATGTGTGCACACACACATCCAGGGGACAGAGGTTACTCTCCATCTACTTTGGGATCCAGTTCAGGAGTCAATTTTGTACAGCAAGGGCTTTTACAGGAGGAACCATCCCAAGGGCCCCAGGGTGTTTTAAACAATCTCTCCATGAGAAAGAAAGTGGAGAGGAGAAACAAGAACTGATAGAACGGCAGGAGACAATTCCCTCACAAGCTTTCAGACTGGCCCTCTTAGTAAGACAAGTTTTATTTGAAATGAACTGTTCCGCAGCTTAAACCAGAAAGTGCCTGTTTTAAGAGCCAAAACAGTAATTCACCTGGGCCATGCTCAAGGTCTTGGTGAATCAAGAAGAAACAAACCCCATTCAATGTGAAACTGCACCCTTGTAGCACGCTGGGAGGTGAAGGAACGGATGAAAAACAATCCTCAGACTTAATTACAAAATAAAACAGCAGACCTCCGTCTATTTCAGGGAGATGGGGCACATGCCAGTGCACTCTAGTTTTTATTATGAATGTATGTAGTAAAAGTTAGAAAACTAGCCAAGAGGTTTGGCATACGCCTTTAGTCCCAGCACTCGGGAGGCAGAGGCAGGCGAAGCTCTGTGAGTTTGAGGCCAGCCTGGTCTACAAAGGTAGTTCCAGGACAGCCTGGGCTATGGAGAAACCCTGTCTCAGAAAAATAAAAACATCAAAAAAGTTAGAAAACTAATTCTGAGAAAACATAGTCCAAATTCAACAAAATCTACAAAAGCAGATTCTGATCAGTGGGGCCACTGTGACAGGCTGCGCCCCCCTCCCTGAAAGAACTTAGTGTACTAGAGAGTCTAATGTCTCAGTCTCCAGCTAAGTGCAGGCAGTGTGTGAGGAGGCAATAGGCATCACACACTGTCTCCTCGGCTCTGAACTGTCAGTGTAGCCAGTCCATAAGGAGTCACACTCACACAGCGATCCCACCTCATACTGTGCTCACAAAGCGCTTCATGTTCAAGATATAGGCAATGCCCAAATCAGCATCCCCCACCACCAGGGTCATCTGCCAGCTACTGGCCCATCAAACATGGTCCTTATACATTACTGGGGATCACCGCCAGTCTCCTGGGACTGCTAGGAAAAATTATCACAAACAGTGCTAAAACAAATCAAAAACAAAAACAAAAAAAAAAGTGTTCCCTCATAGTTCTGAAATGGATTTATGAAATGTGCACCAAGCTCAGCTGGGCATGGTGGCTCACACCTGTGACCAGCACTTGGGAGGCTGAGGCAGGCATCTGTCATGGATTTGAGGCCAGCCTGTCAGGGACACAAATAGCTCACTGAAAGACAAGACATAAATTAAGACACACAAGACCATGACAAGAAAAGGGAGGAGAGAGAGGAGGGATGGAGGAGGGAGGAGGGAGGAGGGGTGGAGGAGGGCATTGGAAAGAAAGTGGACAGTGCTGCTCAGGGTTGGGGACAATCAATTCCCTGCTCTGCCTCAGCTTCTGGAGCCCGCCACCCTCGGCTCAAGGGTGTTAACACCACTGTCTTTGTGGGACTTCCTTCTGTGCTCCTTGCAAGCACTCTGCATCACTCACTGGATGTAGAGCTCACTCACATATCTGTGTTTTCATTTCCAGACCTTTCATTTCCATGTGATGAGGTCACATTTGCAGTTCCAGGCTGACACACTGGGGGGGGGGGGGGTGGACACACAGCAGTCACACACTAGCCATCTAGTATCAGTCACATCCTAATTCACAGCCAGTCCTCACTCTCTCCCAGCCATGCTCTGGACACCAAGTTTGTCTCCAGCACCATGAAAAGAGAAGTCAGAGACATCAGATCACATTTTCTTAATTCAGTTTTATTTCATGTATTATCGGATAGCTCTTTACAGACAGACTCACTCTCTTATGATTCCTTTTCCTGCTGTTCACTGTAAGAAAGGCAAGCACATAAACCAGGCACATGTAAGCAGGTGGGCACGCTGGCCACACATGTACGAAGGGGGGCATGATGGCAGAACATGTAAGCAGACGGGCACACTGGCCGCATGTGTGAGCAGGCAGGCACACAGGCTGCAGGAATACTGTTCTCAGGGATGAACAGGCTCTGGTGCAGTGACTGATCTGGAAAGACTCCAACTTCCCCATCCTCAGATCTCACTCTCTGCAAGTGAGCTTGGGCAGGCAGAGGACCTACTGATATAAACACATCTGAAATCTAGTCGCTTCGTTCACATGCTAATAAGCTGTCCTTATATGTGAACATTGACAAAGGAGGGTACTATAGTGTAATGCATCCGTCCTTAAATGACACCCTCCTTGATGAATGACATCATAAAATGCAAATGTGTACAGACTCTCTGAATCACCACAGCAAAGCACTCAGATATGGGGGGGAGGATGGGTACGGTGTTTCAGTATCAATGTGGGCACAGTGCATTCTGAAGTGACTTTAAAAAGGAAAGGGCCCCACCCCACACACCCGAGAACTGACACACACAGCTCTGCAGTGCAGCTCCCTCCAACACCAGCTGTCACCCCACTGTGCACATGCAGGAGCTCAAAAACCTAGGGGAGTTTAAACCCAAAATGTCCCACAACGTCCAAGAACCTTGGCCCCTGAGAGGCACTACAAGGAGGAGGTAGGAGGAGGGGCCACCTAGATATAGACACTGAGAGGGACCAGGTCCCTCTGTCCCTCCCTCTTCAACACCCCCTTTCGTTCCTCACCACGGCGTGAGTTTTGGTCACCATGCTTAGCTCCAACACAGGTGGGAAAAAAACAGAACAACGAAAGTGAACTGAATCGTCTGAAACTGTGAGCCCAAACCGACCCTTCCTCTGTGTCACAGAGAAACAAAGCTGAGCAAAAGAAACACCATTTCCTGTTTACCGTATATGACACTCTGGGGTGAGTGTTCAAAGGCGCACAGAGAAGTTCCAAGCCATCTGTGATTCTGTAAGGAGACCATTCAAGCAGTGATACCCACACAGACTGTAAGAGGGCACAGAAAGCAAGCAAGTGCAGGCTGATCCCGGATCGCGACCCATACAGGCCAAGCATGGATGCTGGGTGGGGCTCTGCTGAGCGCTCAGCCACACAGCATCTGCCTCTTCCCCCACTGCACCCCGAACCTGGGACAAGTCAGGGACACCGACAGACAGGCGAGAAGAACTCATACCTCCACCAGGAATGATTGCCAGCTTTGTTTCAACCAGGCCCATTTTTGCAGAGGAAGCTAAAAAGAAATAAGGAGAATTAAATGGCAAAGCGTATCAACCGTATGTAATATGACAACTTGAAAAAGTAAAGTAAGATTCTCTCAAAACATTGTTCATTGATTAAATTGATGCCACGATTTTTTAAGAAATTATTTCAAAAGTTTTTTTGTTTTTTTTTGTTTTTGTTTTGTTTTGTTTTTGTTTTTTTTTTTTTATGAAAACACATAATCATGCTAAACGACCCTCTACCCTAACCCAACCCCCCAGGAGAATACATGACATTTTCTTTTCAAAATTTCTTGGCAGTGATCAAAGATCAGAGTGTTAACTCCATCTTTGGATGTGATGTTATCAACTTATTTAGGCCTGATCCTGTTAACGAGTCAGGATCAAGGGAGAGACCTCCTGACAAGTACAGATTCCTTGGCTGCATATACAATCCCCAGACCAAGCAACTCTATCTGCTATAAGGAAAAAGAAAAAAAGTTCAAGGCCAAGTGTCCAGTTACTTTCTCACTAAAGGCTCCACAGCCTGACTGTCCCTTGGGCTACTTCCCGCAACCTTGCCCCCCCCCCCCCCGTTTGTTGCCTGTATGAGTGGGCTGCACACTCAGTTGACTCCTCAACTGAAAACCCACCTGACCCCAGCACCAGGAAGGAATCATCACAAGAACTTGGGGACCCAGAAAGCAGCACCTCACCCTCGTGCCCCAAAACCTGTGTGACCACATGAAGTCAGGAAAAGGCGAACTGAACTCACAGAGGTTGCATGCAGTGACAACAGGAGAGACAGCATGAAGGAGAGTGGGACTGGGTGACCCTCTGCTGCCCAGAACAAAACTCACACAGAGTGCACACCTGCTGGGTGCAGGACAAAAGCATGGGCTGTGCTGCCTCAGCCTGGCCTCGGATCCCAGCTCCCTCCCCCACTCCCTCCTCTCTGCTCCTGCCTCCCCCACAGAACCTCACAGACTTGCGGGCAGCAGAGGGAGGGGTCCCTGGTCAGCATCCAGCAAGTGGCTAGTACCAACTCGTTTCACAATTCTCTCAACACATGCTCAGGATCAGGGAAAAAGAGGGAACCTGAAGGGAATGAAGTCGTCACTATGGGAATAAAGTCATTAAGTGCTGGACCAAACAAGTCTACTGACTCCATGGGCCAGATGCACAGCTACGGTCATGAGCTCTATTTGAAACGGAAGGAAATTAGTCTTTTAAATAGAAGCCCTAGGATCCCAAATCAGATGTTTGACTCAAACTCAGGTGTCTCTTTTCACAAAGGCTGAACAATGGATGGTAAAAGAGCTTCCTGAGTAGGAATTTCAAATGCTAGGCTACAAAAAAAAAAAACCAGTTTTCCTACATAGGAGTTGCAAACATGAGGCTCCAGGGGCGAATTTATAATGTCCTGCTGAACAGGAAGCAGAGCTTAAAAATATTTGGGCCTAAGCGGTGTGCAGCGCTCACCACTGCCACCGTGTGTATGCACCAAGGGTCAAGCCCAGGGTTTATCCTCCCAGACCCCAGGCTTCGCTAGCATATTCATCATACAAAATAGGTTTCATTACAAGACTCTCATGGTGTCCTTAATGTACTTAGATCCTATTTGCTCCTCCCTCACTGCTCTTCTTCATCCCGCTCACCCCCATTCCTCATCCCCAAATCTCCTTTTCATGCCTTCTTGCTTTTGTCTAGGTTCCACATGTAAGAGAAATTGACGGTCTTTCTGAGTTGGGCTTACTTCAACAAACACATGACTCTCCAAATTCACTGATTTTCATGCAAATCACACCATTTTATAATTCTTTAACCTGAGCTCCTTTTAAAACTTATATTAGCAGGATAAATTCTCACCTGCTACTCGAATGTCACATGCTAGAGCCAGCTCCAGACCACCTCCTAGGGCAAGTCCGTCTATGGCTGCGATCGTGGGCACAGGGAGGTTAGCTGAAACAGAGAGAGTTTATCCTTCACTCAAAGCCACAGCTTTAACTGGGTTCACTCAGAACATATTCTTAAGCAGGGTGTCATATGCAGACTTTATGCCTCTATCGTCTTCACTAAAACACAAGCATCTTCAATGTTCTTTAAAACTTTTATGTAATGAGTCTAGACAGCCCATCTATAGATGGGGAACACTTCTGAACCATCCTATCCCCTGAATTACCCTCAAGGTTATTTTATTGAATTCTGTAACTTCATAATCTGAGAACCTAGTCTTTCACAAGGTGTTTAGTTCATAAGAGTTAAAGTTGGGGTAGTTCATGCAGCACTTTGGAACTCCTGACCCTTGATGGCTTGGTGCTCAGAAAGCTACCTGGAGACGTGGCATCTGCTCAAAGAAGCACACAGTGCAGAGGGCTACAGGGTGCAGGCCGGGTACCACCACCAGGGAAGGGTGGCACAAAGGGTCCATCCACAGTCCCTTCTGCCTCTGTGATCCTGACCAGAAGTAGACATGAGGAGAGGCAGCATTCACAGAACTTACAGGAGAGTATTTCTAGAAGTTTCTACAGTAGCATGTTTCCTTATGGCATTTTCAAAGGTGCTCTGTTACCCCTCCCCTACTACCCCCAACTCCCACCTATTTAACTCTTCCATTATTCCCCCTTTCCCTGAAAGGAAAACGGACCTCTGTGGGTATTCTGATGTAAACACACATACCAACAATCTTCCCCAGGGTTAATTAAATCTGTGAGCCCCAATAACAACCAGCCTGGGAAGACAGGCCCACTAGTGCAATAGTGCCATGAATGCTGTTGCAGTAAATAATACCCTGATTGGATGAAGCCTGCTCGGCAAGAGAGAATAAAGGCCAGGTTTTGCTAACCAGATCCAAAACTTATGACTGGCTAGATCATAGGCCATAGGGGAGCAGCTAATACTGTTAATTTGTTAAATGGACATCATAAAAAGCTGTCCCTTACATTCTTATCTTTATACCCAGAAGTTAGCCCATCTCTCAGCCTTCATCAGAGGACCTTCTTTTTGCAGCAGATGAAGATTAATAGAGACCCACAATTGGTCAATGTATAGAGAATAAGACTCCAACAGAAACATCTATAGCATTCCCTCAAAGTTCAGGAAGCACTGTGGAAGAAGGGTCAGAAAGACTATAAAAGCCAGGGGACGTGGATGTCTGCAACAAAACATTCACTGGACATGACAGGACCACTGCACACATGAACTGCACAAGATCTAGCCAAGTCCCAGTACAGACAGGAGGAGAACTCCCACCTTTAGCCAAATTCCAAGCACGGAGAGGGAAGAGGTCCCACCTCTACCAACTGATGACTGCCTGTGGGAGGGAGGGTCAGTTTTCTTCAGGGATATAACCCTGAAAGGCCTGTTCCCGAAGGTGACCCTACCCATGCACATTTGGACAGCACCAAGAGGGGGTGGGGAGAACACACGAAACAGAGGAAAAGAGAGGGAATTGTGGTGATAAATTATTTATGCTTTATTAAAGCTTGCCTGAGGATTCAGAAAGCAAAGTCAGCCACAAACCATAGAAGCCAGGCACACACTTTTAATCCCAGCAGCCAGAAGCTAGGAGATGGTGGTACACACCTACAATCCTAAAACTCAGATTTCTGTGAGTCCAAGGCTACCTACCCAGGGATACACAAGATTGATCCAGCCCTAAAGAGAAACAGCTCACACAAAGATGATCTCAGCACCTGGGATCACACACCTTTAATCCCAACACTAGAGGGTATAAAAGATAGGAGCAGGCTCTTCAGGAGTCAGTGTCAGACATTCATTCTCCAGCCACACTGAGGACAGGAAGACACTGAAGTCTCAGGATTCTCCAGCCACGCTGAGGAGAGGTTACAGTCTGAGGCTTGGGAGAGCTCGTGGATCAGCCCTTTCAGCCTGAGGTAGAGGTGGGAGCGGGTGGCTGACTGCTTTGCTCTTCTGACTTGAACTGTCTCTGGGTCTTTTAGCTTTCGTGTTATAGGCAACAGGGAAGGAGTTGAAAGGAAGGAAATGAGGGTGGATTTGACCATTATATGGTGGCTTGAGAGATGACTCCACAGTTAAGAGCACCTGAGTCTGATTCCCAGAACCCCCATTCCCCCATTAGATGGCTCACAACTACCTATTTCACTTGGAAGAGCATCACCTTAGGGACTTAATTTAACCGGCCCTCGTCATCACGTTTTCCTTTCAGGTGAAATTCATTAGTACACTTGTACTATGAACCCATCCCTTGTTGAAGACAGTGACAAGTCTGTCTGATATTCCCCACAGAGTGTGCTGGACAGCAAAGTGAGCCTGCCCTGTCCTTCAAGGACACGCCTCCCCTCGCTCAGTTCTCACAGTGCACAGGAAGCACGGCCTTCCTCCAAACCCTTTCAGAGACTGCAGAGCAAGTGGCGCCAGTCCCACACACGGGAATGAGTGGGACTCGGTGACCTTCAGGAGCTAGCAGACTTTAGAAGAGCCAGGAAGGGAGCCTCTGTTGGGGGTGGGAGGTGACGCTGGGGCCTTCACCAGTCCATTCGGTTCACTGTGAAGGAGCCAGCCTTACTTCTCTTTCCCGGTCTGAAGAAAACATTTTCTTTCATATGATTTCTAGGAAGGAGTCATTTTTTACAAGAAACTAACAATGAAGTCTGTTCTGCTATAACTTACAAACCTTTCCACTAGTGAACACTCTTTTCTTTCTCTTTTTTAGCAGACAAGTTCATACATGCATATAATTTTTTTAGCTTTATTTTTATTATGTGTGTGTGTAGCTATGGGCACATGAGTACAGTTGCCTGCAGAGGCCAGAGGTGTCTGAGCCCCCTGTAGCTGGAGTTACAGGCAATGTGGTGCTGCTGGCCCTGATCTCAGGCTGAGGTAGCCTATCTACACAGCCAGAGCATCTCACACAGTAATAGACAGATGTGACATGATGTTGCTTAGTAAGTACAGTCCCCAATCACACAATGTAAGAAATGGTGTAAGACACTGACTATATCAGCAAGACATGATGACAGGCTGCCCAGGAGTCCGGCTTAAGAGGCAGAGTGAAGAGGTTGGCCTCAGACATAGGACCTAAGTCAGGTGGTACAACTATTAACACTTTCCTATTAGGACCATGCACTGTAGAATCAATAAAAACTATTTTTAAATCTGGCATTTAAAATTTGAGGAATTAAATTTTCCAAAGGGAATACAAGAAATTTAGCATTACAACTTTTAAGAAATACAGAATGGCAATAAATTGAAACCCAAAGAGGACACGAAGAAGAATAACTGTGTCCACATCCCTCCTGAAACTTTCAAAAGTTAACATAAATTCATGTGGTAGAAGGCTGGCTATAAAATGTTTCCTACTAAAATATTATTTAATTAGCATAGCTTAATCCATTCAATATTTTACAATACTATAATTCTAAGGCTACACACTCTTGGAAAGGCAGGCTCTCCGCACAGAGGCCTGAGGGAAGACGCAGAGGGCAGTGTGCATGCCTACAAAGGACTTGAGGCAGGAAACGAAATGCCAGGGCCACAGCTCCAGCAAGAAACCATGACTCAGTGTGTTACGCAACAGTGGGATCAGATACTATTTTGAGTTTCATTCCAGGAAGTGAGCCAGGTATGACAAGGAAGATAATAATCCTTTGAAATGCTCCTAAAAATATAATTAAAGCAATAATTAGAGAGGTGATCTATTTTGAGAAGGGGAAGCATGGCAGGCCCTGTGGTGTCCCTCACAGCCCGCAGCATAGCCAGGTCCAGTGGGGCTGGGGTGAGTGCAGGACTGGAGGTGGTGAGGCTCCTCTCTGCTCCTCAGGCAGAGGTTAATTGTAACCCTCTAGAAAAGCAAATGATCTGATTAAAGGAGAAGGCTAGTGTGGGCTGGGTGTCTTTTACACTTGGTTCGGCTTAAGGACTAGTATTCGGTGTCAGCAAGATGGCTCACTGGCTCAGCGCTTGTAACCAATGCTGACAGCTGAGGTTCCACTCCTGGAACCCATGTGGTGGAAGCAGAGAGCTAACACCCTGACTTTCACAAAATAAATAATAAAATGTAACTGTAAACAGCTAGAAATCTAGTACTGCTATGCAAAACAGAAAAGTTGTTACTTTAACAGAAAGGTCCACACTCGGCGTGATGAAAAGTCTGAATACCAAAATGAAGCACGGAAACAAAATCTCTATTAACAAACCACAATAAATTCCTAATTATTCCTAGATCCAGCTAAAACTTTACATTGACTCACAGTGCTTTCTCCCTTCCCTCCAAATTCTGAAGAAGCCACAAGAACAGAACAAAGCGGCCAGTCCCTTAATAAAGATGACAGGTGGCGCACTGCGGCTCTCCTGGAGGCTGGCAGGCTGGACTGGGCTGGGAGTTGGCCCAGGACTGCTACAGAGCGCAGCTGGATGCCAGCAGGGACTGCAGAGGAGAGCGCCACCACCCTCAGGTGGGAGACACCAGATCCAAGACTAGAAGTCTCAGCCACCTTAGCCCTTAGTCACAGGCAAACTCCTGCGACACCTAAACGCTAAGACTGGGTTAAAATCCAAATAAAGGGAGACTGCCCTGGAAGGCTGTGGTGAAGAAGGGAGCAGCAGTGCCCCCCCCCCCCCGCCCCTGGAGGAACCATTCCATTAGCAGCCACCTCCCGGCAGGGCCCAGCTCTCCCTCCACACAGCCCAGTGTCCAGGCTGGGTCTATACATGAAAGTAAGAGAGTAAACTGATGTCTTACCAAGAAAGATGGAGGGATAAACCTCATAAGAATGTGGCAAAACAAGCCAAAGGACAAGGAGAGAGAGACTGATGCCACTGCGGGATGACATGCAGAGAGACCTGGCAGGCACAGGGGTCCTAGCCACATGTGGGGCAAACCAGAAAAGTACTTAAGCCAGGTTTAATTATTTTCAAAATATAAAGTCATGGGGCTGGACAGATGGCTCAGCAGTTAAGAGCACGTACTGCTCTTGCACAGTACCCCGGGTCAGTGCCCAGAACTCATACTGGGTAGCTTACAACTGCCTGGAACTCCAGATCCAGCGGACCCAGCCCCCTCTTCTGGACTCAGGGTGCCTACACTGATATGTGCACGCGCGCGCGCGCGCACACACACACACACACACACACACACACACACACACAATTTCAAAATAAAAATGTCTTTAAAAATGTAACCAAAACCAGAAAGTATATAGAGACAGAACACAGAGAAACCTGAGCCAGAAGAGAGGAAGGAGTCAGACACAGGCAGAGAAGGGGAGGGGGGACAGGACAGGGGGACAATAGCACGCATATGATACTGCAGCCAAGCCCAGAGGAAAACCTCTAGAACCCTAACAATGCAAGGTCTAAAGATGTGTGCAGTAAATCAGCACATCTGCAACGACCACACCCATGCAGGAATGATGGCATCTGCTGAGAAATTACCGAAGCCTACAGTCAACACAACCTCAGGTGTTGCTTATGAGATTAGAAGTGCAGAAAAATTCATGAGAACTGAAGTGAATTCCCTTTTTGGCCATGACAAATTCTGGAGTGGTATTCTGGAATGGCAGAAGTTAACAGTTAAACCCATGGCTCAGGTTTAAACAGCAGAGTGTAGTGGTGTACCCCTTTAATCCCAGCACATGGGAGGCAGAAGAAGGTGGATCTCTGTGAATTTGAGGCCAGCCTGATGTACAGAGTGAGTTCCAGGACAACAGGGGATACACAGAGAAACCATGCCAATAGATTAGATTAAATTAATAGACAGGTAGGTAGACAGACAGAAGAAATGAAAATAAAGTAAAAAGCAAAGGGTTCACAGCCTAGAGTTATAATGTGCATAGCACCCAGCACACTCAACAGGACAGGGTGCTAGCAACTCATAAACAAGCTACGTAACTCCTAAAGGCTTGCTCTTCCTTGCCATGATTCTTCCTTGGCCCTCAGACACAAGCAGAAGACATGGTGAGCAAAAAACTATCAGTCTGCAAACTCAAAACTTCTCTTCACCAAGTAACTCTCAGCACACACTATGGCAATCAGAAAAAACAATGTTTACATTACGATTCATAACAGTGGCAAATTACCATGAAGAAGTAGCAACAAAAATAAATTTTATGGTGGGGGTCACCACAACATGAGGAACTGTACTAAAGTGTCACAGCACTAGGGAGGTTAAGAACCACTGTCCTAGAGTGTGAGGGAATTTTTATTAAAATTCTTTTTTTCACACAATATATTCTGATTATGTTTTCCTCTCCCTCAACTCCTAGATCCTCCCCACCTACCCAATTTCATGCTCACACTCTCCCACTCTTTCCCCATTTAGGCCCCCACAAAAAAAACAGCAAGACAAAGAACAATGACAAAATAAAACATTCACACAAATAATAGCCAGGCAGGCAGGCAGGCAGGCAGGCAGGCAGGCAGGCAGGCAGGCAGATCAACAGACCATGGAGCTTAGCTTATTTTGTGTTGGCTAACAATTCCTGGGCATAGCGGCTGCCCTGGAGTATGGTTCATATACCTAGTGACACGCCACTATAGAAAACTGATTGTTCCTCTCCCAGCAGGTATAAATTGCAAACCAGTGTCCTCTCACAGGCTTCTAGGCTGTCTGTCCATCTTGTGTGTGTGTTCACTCACACACATATCTTCTGACAGCTGTTTCGAGTACTTCTCCAGGTACACATCTTAATAAACTGACATTCTTACATTTAATGTTGACAGAACTGATTCACCTTTTCTTCCCTTTTTGAAGAGACTCACTCACTCCATCTTAAATTTTAGTTTCTTCTCTGAGCATATTAACCGTCTGCCATTCCCCAGTAAGTCCCATCTGCTGCCCCACCTGGAGGGGTCTGGCCACCTGTGCCCAAAACAAGCAGCCCAGCAGCTGACTTGTGTACAGTGAATGGTCTGCAGGGTAACTTCAGCAAGGCTCCTTGTCCTTTCTGTTTAGGGACTTGGGCCCTGGCTCTGAGGACAACAGACTCTACACACTCCTGTGCCTCACAAGACAGCTTTGTCACTGCATGCTTTCTGTGCTCCTACATCCACTTCTAGAGCCAATGCCATCTTTCTGGGCGCTGACAATGACAGCTCTTGCCTCCTGCTGACACAGGGGAGACAAGTGACTGTTTTTCATACAGGTTCCGCACCTGCCAGCTTGCCACACAACTCTCCCTTTTCATACTTGATCTTTCGGTGTTCAGCTTTTTCTTTCTCAGTCTTTGTGTTGGTTGTCCCTCCTTTCCCCAATGGCAGGACTTTGGACAATGCTCACAGAGTGTGCCACAGTCTCTCCCAGCTTACTTCTCAGCTCAGGGGACAGCTTCAAACAATTTACCACGAAAGAAACAGATACTGACTCGGGTTGAAAGAACCTATTCCCATTTCCTAAGCTTTTCCATGAATACAAACTGACAGTTCTCAAATGTTTTTCTCACTATACTAAGGTGAACTATGCTTTTTTTTTTAATTGCCTAATGTCATGAATTAAATTTGGCTTTTTCCAATGGTAACCACCCTTACATTTCTAGGAACACCAAACTTCATCTTCTCCCTCAATATGCAGGTCTTATCCAAACTCTCAGACATCAGCTTGTTTCCACCATTTGTTGGGTTTAGGCATAAAAACTGCACTATTGTGAGTTCATTACCTGACTCCAGTGGTACTGTCCTGTGGAAAGGCTGGTACAGGGCGGTAAAGACTCCTCCCAACATCTCCATGACATCTGAGGTATAAATCCCTGACATTTAAGCTGAGCCTGCTGTGGGTGTGGCATGGCAGAGGATGAGAGGTTGAGGAAAGGGGTCATGGAACTTAACAGCTGGTTCAATTTCCTCTTTCACATCTATTGGCATCAAGTTTTGCCATGATATTCTCATTACTTCACATTCTCTGCAGTCTCGGTGTCAAGCCTGGTCCATATGCAGGATGTTAGTAGACACCACACTCTCGGGAGCGGCTGGACCTAGCCCGTCACTCTTTGTGTGTCACTAACTTCCAGCCCTTTCACTACAGCTTTCCTAAAACTTCTGCCTTGGCTTTTTAACCTTTGCTAATGCCTGACTATTTATTACCAGTGGGTTTTCTCTCACTGAGATGGACTTACCGTAGCATGAAAAAGAAAAGAACCAGAGACAGATAGATATACTGGGGTTCAAGCTTCAAGCTGAAGATCAGAAAACAAAGCAGCCAAGCAAGTAGCTCTTACCGCTACCCAGCTGAAATGGCAATCCTGTCTCCATGAGTCCTCAGAGGCAAAAGCTCTGAATTCCTGTCTCCTACTCCTTATACTCTTTTCTCTGCCCAGCCATATCGCTCCTGTATCCATCTCCCTAGTGCTGGGATTAAAAGCGAGTGATCCTAAGTGCTAGGATCAAAGATACGAGCTCTATTACTCGTCACTCTTTTGTAGGTCAGGGTAGCCTTGAACTCAGACAGATTCATCTGCCTGTCTCCTGGGAAAGGCGTGCGCCACCACTACCTAGTTTCTATAGTTAACTAGTGTGGCTGGCTTTGCTAACTGATCCCCAGTGCTTTACTAGATCATAAACAATATATCACCACACTTAAGGTTGAGAATTCCCTCGAGTGTTTCACACCAAGTCTCATGAATTTGGACACAGTCATGTAAGCCTCATCGTTTCTCCTCTAACTCGTAACTCAGACCAAATTCCTCAATTTCTAAGTATATGAGCCTTAAACCTGTTTATTTTGTTTCTAACTTAACTGTACTGTGAACCAAGAACAACGTCTCCATGTATCAATTTTCTGAAAATTTAACTGCATTTTGGTTCTGGCTCAACATATTTTTACAAAGATTTTGTGAGAATGATATATACTCTCTGGTTTAGGGTTGAATTTATTCAATCAAACTTGCCAGTCATGTTTTTAGGTCCCTATTTTTTTTTTTTTAAAGTTATTTACCAGTTTTTGTCCTTTTGAATTCACAGCAAAGTGATGAAAATACCAGCAATGCTAATTTTACTAATACTGCCAGATTGGTCAACGTGTATAATTTTATATTGAGACAAATGGTTTTAAGAGCAATAACTAGCAATCTTCTTTATCTTTCTGTCATTAGTTTTTTCTTTGGTTTTGTTTTTCTGAGAAAGAGGTTTGGTGGGCTGTCACTCTGTAACCTCAGCTGGCATCACCTGTAATTCTCTATCCTCCTGCCTCATGCAGACCCTGAATGTTCACTCCACAGGCCTGTATCACCGGCCTAACTCTTGGTTAATAATCTACAGGTCAAAAATTTAAAGAAGAGAAAAAGAGAGGAAGAGTGTGAGTGTGAGTGTGTGTATGTGTGTGTGTGTTTGCATGCCCATGAGTGTACAAATTTGTGCAAGTGTCGGTGTGTGTACAGCTGTGTGGAGGCCAGAGATCATGGCAAAGTGTCTTCCCCAGTTATCTCCACACAATTTCTGACTGAGCTGGAGACTGCCACCTAGGTTAGGCTGGCCCGCGGGTCCTGCCTCCTGACACTGGGATCACAGGCATACACGTGGGCACCCAGCTTTACACGTGTGTTCTGAGGATCAAACTCAAGTCCTCACATCCCACATATCTTTTAAGTAAAATACATAAAGTGCTGAAATGGTCATAGCTCATGATTATCTAACTGTGCATTTGACCACAGCACAGAAACAATTGTGACATAAAGCCCACCTTAAGCATATGGAGGGGACATGACTGTGCTTACCAACGTCATTGATCACTGCTCGTATCTTGGAGACAAAAGGACCGACTTCACTGGAATGCATTTTGGCTCTTTCCTTAAGGTCAGCACCTGCAAGACATTGTATCTGCAAATAAGATGATGACATAAGCACGATTGTAAAGCAAAAAATTAGACATTTACTCAGGATTAGTGCCACGTGAAGGCCCACTGAAGTTATATGCTACATGTCCTTCCCAGTGATGCCCGCTGGTGGGAAAGGCAGCCTGTTTTTCCATGCTGATCAGATGGTCTACAGCAATATCCTGCAGCTTTTTGCTCTTGGCACCCTTCGCACTTGGAAAACGACCATGTTACACCCACTGACCACTGCTGCTTTACACAAACTCAAGCTAAGAAGCCTTCCAAGTACTCGTTCATTCACTAAAAAGTCACAAACACAACAGCCCCATCACAAATGACTTCAGACTGGTGCTGGCACCTGCATCTTGAAGACATGCTAGAGTTTTACCCATTTCTACCCTAGACTCATGGCCAAAGCAGTGATAATGGCAAAGTACAATGGTCACACACCATGGTGACTATAAACTCAACCTGAGAAATGCTGGACTAAAGTCAAGTGATGAGTTCATAATTATGGCTTTAACACACAATGCTAAGTTTGGAACAGTTAAAAACAAACCTCAGGAGTTCCTCAGAGGGTCATTCACTCTGAGTTCAACAAAATGGTTTCACCAAAAGCTGTCCCAATGAAACAAAGTCCACAGCATTGGCATGGCTGCTCACTCTCTCCTTACAGACTATAACCATGCACAGTACTCAGGGGAGCTGGGCACGCACCTCATGGGAGAACTGGAATCAGCTCAACACTGGCCTCACAGCCCCCCAGTTCTCGGGGGACACATGCCACTGAGACAGATCTCAGGGAGATGGGCAATACTGCACAGTGCAGCACAAGGAAAGCGAGAGAGAAACTGGGAAGGACCTAAACAGCACTAACAAATGGCTAACAGACCTAGAACATACGCTTATGAAAGGGACTTCAATAAAGCAAGGACAAGCTCAGGATCCTCCTGTCTCCACATCCCCAGTTCTAGGACTGCACAGGCATCTTTTCACTTAGACTTTTACAAGAGTGCTAAGGACCGAAACTTAAGTCCTTATGCTTGTGGAGCACACACACTAAATTAAATTTAAAAGGCAGTGAGCTTCGATGCTTCCAAACAGTTTTTGTGTTACCATGAATTATGCTCAGGTAACACAGAGAACTTATCTAGATGCAGTTGTGAAATGAGGCCAATTAATAGCTCTATGGGAGCCTCTAAATGTCCTAGTAAAGAGATGAGACACAAATCTCTCAACTTCAAAACAAAAACCAGGCTAGAGAGATGGCTCAGCAGTCGAGGGCACTTAATGCTCTTTAAAGGGCCCAGAACTTAGGTCCCAATATTTATATGCTGACTCACAACTGCCTGCAACTCCAGTTCCAGGGAATTCAAAGCATCTTCTGACTTCTGTGGGCAGCAGGCATGCTTGTAGTACACATACACACAACCAAGTAAAGCACTCAAAATATAAAAAATGAATGCTTTTAGAAGGCCAGAGATGATTAAGGTTAGTGGAAAAGCTATAGTGAATACAGACAGACAGCTGACCTCCTACATCAGTTAGCCCAAGCTGCTAGTGCAAAGGAGGAATTTACTTGAGACTCCAAAGAGCAAAATGCCTTGCTGCACATAACACAGAAAGTTCTAGGGGTCTCTGATGGGAGATGCCATTATGTATATATGTTTCTCATACTGGTTAATAATAAAGCACTGTTGGCCAATAGGAAAAGAAGATAGGAGGGACTAGGAGACAAGGAGGAAATAGGAAGTAGTAAGGAGGAGTCAAGATGGAGAGTCTGAAGAAAACAGTATGCCGCCGGCTCCCTGGTAAGAGAAATACATAGATCAACAGAAATGGGTTAATAATTAAAGGCAGAGCTAGCCGATAAGAAACAAGTAACCGGGCCAACAGTATTGTATCAAATACAGAGTCTCTGTGTATTATTTGGGGCTGGCGGCGTGGCGGCGGGACAAGACCAGCGGCGGCAGGCGGAAAAACCGTACACCTTACAGGTCTCAATAATGATCAAAGCAGCTACAGCATTCCCTTTGGCCAAGTCACAAACCACAGCCAGCCCCTAGTCTCTTCCAGTTCTGGGAAGGCTGAGGAAGCTGCATGACAGAGACTTGAGATGAGCAAAGCTCCAGCAACTGACAAATCACAAACCAGCAAAAAGAGTCAGGGAACACCTTACATTTGAACTGGGCCACCCATTCCTACTTTAGCAAATGTATGAATCACTTTAACCATCTTTAGACCTTGCTAATATTTTTCTTCCTGGTTACATTGTAATTCTTCATGGAAAAATTAATTATGAAGATCTATCAGGCATCCAAAAATGGTTCAAGACCAACCCTGACTGAGCACATGCTACCCAACCCTAAGTACTACAATAGTCTAGGTGGCCCTGAGGGGACATACACCCATCCTAATAGTGTACTGTTAGATGAACCCGCCAACCCCACATGACAAATACACATACCCATCCTAATGGTACAGTGTTACAGATGAATGTACCAACCCTACATAACCACTATACATGCTTTATATCCCTAAACTACATTCTTGTTTGTAGTTTTAACTAATTTATCTTAGCCTGGTAAAATTATACATACTTATCATGCATGACATGATGTTCTGAAGTACATAAACACTATGGAATAGGTTATTAAATCTGACCATTAATATGGACATTACCTAACTGCTGTGGTTTAGGGGGTTAAGAGTTTTAGGGGGTTATGGAGTTTTCCAAAGATATACACTGACAAGGCTTCACTGCCCAGGAAATCCTTAAGTCACTGGGAGGATACCCTTGAAGGAACCCAATAAGCTCCGGCTGCCAGCCCATCTACCCAGCCCAACGGGGCCAGTCATGGATTGAAAACTTCCACAGTTCGGGGCCAGAACAACCCTCTCTCTTCATAAACAACTATCTCCGGGATTTGTCAGTGACAGAAGCTGGCAAAGACAACAACCACTACTCTACCTCAGCAACACTGTGGGTTCTTTGCCAGACCGCTATAGCAGATTGACTCTCACACAAAGCAGACTGCATGGATGTTTTTAATTTCCTGGTGCATATAGAAGCTATGGGTGCTGTAATAGTTTCTTGAGGAAGCAAGGGCATCCCATCACAAGGTAGGGAATGGAGGAAACCCTAAGTGAGTGATGTTCTGAGTGAATGTGCACTGTTGAAATGGGTGTGGCCATGTTGAACTCCAAGGTCTTGGACCCATGGGAAACTGGCCATTCTGTTACTCATAAAGACAAGACTCATAAGGAATGAAAACAAATGACCAATTCAGCAAAGACTAACAATTGCAGCTCCTTCCTCCTGGGTGCTGACAGCCTGAGACTACTCGTCTTCTAACTAACCCTTTTTCTAGGACCCCATCTGACATTAGCCTTACTCTAGTGGGTCTGTCCTTTATTCTATTGCTGCCCCTAACTAGGATTCCAGGACCCCAGAGCATCTCAATATGCCTGTCTTAGGTGATGTCTGTTCATAACCACCTGAACCTTCAGCAAGGTGGACTCCTCCCACCTGTGGACCTTGCTGAGTACCGATGGCTGTGAACTCATCAAAATGGCAGCTGCTCATGGTCAAGGCTTTTTTTTAGAGAAAGAGAGTTAGAGTGTAGAGCAGGCTGGCCCCCAGCTTGAAGTGATATCCCTGATTCTGCTTCCTTTCTTAAAGACACCCTGAAGGGAATTCACCTCATTGAGTTAGTCCTGCCTGGGGGTTCCTTTTACAGCATTTACCCACAGCAAGAAGGGTTCCCACATGACCCATCTTTTCAAACTTTGCTACTGCCGCAGGTTGGGGTGGCAGAGCCTATACCAAGTTGCAGTGAAGCAGAGTACCCTAGGTTACTGTAGCAGCTCCCTCTTGTCATGGCCCAGTCTTTAGCACAGGCCCCCAGCTCCACTTCTGGCTTGCCACTTGGCCATTCCAGTCTACCCCATTCTGGCCCTGGGATGGCTGAGGAGCTGGCCCATTCATGGCTTGGCGGGCACCATGACCGGCCTCAGAGTGATGGTCCAGTGGACTGGGCTTTAGTTTCTGTTTCCTGTGTTTCTTGTGGCCACGCTGGCATTTCTTGGAGGGACCACGGGCTGGAGATGGCCAACCAGAAAAGGGTGGTTCCTGCAACCTCCCACCCTAAGACATGTCTGGACTTGTCCAGGCTTGCCCTGACATGTCCAAAGGTGCCACAGCCAATCATAATTAAACTAATGTAACTGTTCCTTGATTAGCAAATCCTGTTTGCTGGAGATGACCTAACTGTCCCTGGAATCTCCCTAGCCATGTATAAAAGAAGCTTGCAAGCTTCTCTCAGGGTCGTTACATTTTGTTGTGTAGCTAATCCCTGCATGCAGGAATTTTCTCTCAAGAAATAAATGTTCTTGCTTTTGCATATGTGAGTGGTGACTTTTCAAGGGCAACTCACAGACCCTATACTGCGTTCCCAACTAAGAAGTCCTGAAACTTGCTTGTGTTGTCATATCAACAATGTCATAATGTCTTCATCAATAGTAAATTTCATCTCCAGTTCCCATGTATGGCCAATCTTATTTTATATTGCTTAAAAAATATAGGGATAAAGAGCAGCTAAAATAAAGGGTAAAAGGCACACTAAGAAAGGTCACTGTTCTGTAACAAGTAAGATAATCTACTAGTTTGTGAGTAAAAGTGCTTGTCAAGCAAGCCTGATGACCCAAGTTCAATCCTAGATCCCAATGGAAGGAGACAACCAACTTCCACAATGCATGCCAGTTTACACACACACACACACACACACACACACACACACACACAATCTATCATCTATCAACCATCTATCTATCATCTATCTATCATTCTATCCATCCATCCATCTAAGCTGTTGACTCACATAGCAAGGAAGCCCCCAAAGTATATCAAGGAAATATGTCAGGAAGGAAAGTGACAAAGCTCCATCATCACAGCTAAGCAACTTTCAGAGCCTCTGTCAATAGCTGAT